CATTTCCATTTATCCTTAGGATGCATTGTGGTTTTGCTGTATGTTTTAAAATCTTCCAAATTATATTTGGCTTAGGATAACATTAAAATTAACTTTCATTCTATGAGCACAGCTGGATAGACTACCCTGATGCTAATTTTAGTAAAAGAAACTAACAAACTGCTAAAGAAACTCAAATGTAAAATATTAATTTTTCAAATTAAACTATGCTTACTGTCAGCACTCATATGCTCACAAAAGAAAAGCAGAATAAGCAATAATAAAGCACAGCAGCAATAATATGTATTAGGTGACATAAAAGCAAGCAGAATGTGGACTAAAATGCAGAAGGTTCACCACCATTACTGAAATCAAGCAAAATCATAAGGGTAATTCCAGAGAACACTGAGGATTTTACAAAGAAATGACAATGATATAATAAACCAAGTATACAGACATTTATTAATGCCTTTATAATTCTCACAAACATACAAGTAGTCCAATAGCAAATTCTGATGTATGTGTGATACTGGAGGGAGAATGTAGTGGGAGCAAAGATCTCTCTGTTCTATAGTACTGATCAAATCACAATTATAAAAGCAAGAAATATTTATTGAGTGCTTACTATATACCCCGTTCTGTTCTCTGGTTGTAGACACTATAGTAAACATAGAGAAAATCCACGACCATATGGAGCTTACCATAGAGTGAAAAGGCTGGGTAAGGTGGCTTATGCCTATAATCTTAGCACTCTGAGGGGCCAAGGCAGGAAGATTGCTTGAGCTCAGGAGTTCAAGACCAACCTGAGTCTCTACTAAAAACAGAAAAAAATTAGCCAGGCCTGGTGGTGTGCATCTGTAGTCCCAGCTACCTGGGAGATTGAAGCAAGAGGATCACTCAAGCCCAGGAGTCAGAGGTGCAGTGAGCTATGATAGTACCACTATATTCTAGCTAGGGTGATAGAGTGAGACTTTGTCTCAAAAAAATAAATTAAAAAAAGATATATATATATGGTGTGTGTATATATATATATATATATTTGAAAGATTTAAGGCAGGGTGCAATGGCTCACACTGGGAGGCTAAGAAGGGAAGATTGTTTGAGCTCAGGAATTCGAGACAAGCCTGAGCAAGAGAGAAATCCTATCTCTACTAAAAATAGAAAATTAGTCAGGTGTAGTGGTGCAGGCCTGTAGCTCTAGCTACTTGGTAGGCTGAGGCTGAGGCAAATGGATTGTTTGAACCCAGGAGCTTGAGGTTGCCATGACAACGCCATGGCAATCTACCAAGGGCAAGAGAGTTGAGACTGTCTCAAAAAAAAAAAAAAAAAAGAGAAAGAAAACAAAGAAAGATTTAAAACATGTAACCTTGAGCAAGACATATACTTGGCTGACTAAAGGATTTACTGTAAAGAAAGCAAGAAGGACTGCTAATAAAAATTGAGTATATATCTAAATATGGAGAGATATATACAGTATACATATATAGGAATACATATAGTATATATATCTCTACATAGACATAGAGATACATATACAGATAGATATAAAACAAAGATTGTTGTTGATAGTGAAATTAAACATAAAAACATATATAAGCAAAGTACATTCTCTTAATTCTAAATTATTTTTGCTAAAATCAAATATAAGCAATTACTTTCTTCTAAATCTGACTTGTGTGAATCAAAAAAATTTTCATAATGACCACTGTTACACAATGGATAAGGTGAAACCAAAATGTGCAACTATCAAATCCAGATGACAGACTAGTTTCTACTGGATAAAAACGTAAGGAAATTTACTGATAGATTTTCTAGTTTACCTGTAATACTACTGATTATAGCAAAGAAGTTATTACAAGTACATAACTAAGCATCGTTAAAGTAAATTCGGGCTGTTATCTCAGCATATCTACAGCATGCTGTAGTTCCCCATACAGCATGCATGCACAAGGACATTTCTGTCAACAATGGACCCAAATACAACAATGGTTCCACAAGATTATAATACTGTATTTTTACTGTACCTTTTCTATGTTTGGATATATTCAGATACATGAATACTTACCCCAGTATTACAACTGCCTACAGAATTCAGTATAATAACATGCTGTATCGGTTTATAGCTTGGGAGCAACAGGCTATATAAAATAGCCTAGATATACAGTAGACTAAACCACATAGGTTTAGTACACTCTATGATATTTCTGATATTTCCCACAATGACAAAATCAGCTAATGAATCTCCTAGGAGGTAATCCTGTTGATAAGTGGCACATGATTATATTTTGTCCAACGATTGATGAAATGTCATTCTGCCATTTTTCCAGTCAACTCCTAAGTTGTAGATACGGTACTTCTGCCATCCTACTATGCAAGTTCAACCATAACAGACGAAAACTCTTGGCAAATAGATTCCACTCTTTGAGAGCTGGATTAGGGCTCAGAAAATGATACCCCAAAGTATGGTACCTTGGCATGCTGAGTACTTTAAACGAAGAGAGACCGTAAGTTCTTGGAAGCAAAGTCTCTCTCTGATTTTTTCCTGCCCTTTTATCTCCTGTTTCTCTTTCTCATAGACAGAATTTCTCTTCCCCAAGGTAGGGTGTATAAATTAGAACTTCTCTTCTACAAAGCAAGCCATAAAATCTAAAAATATTACTAAAATCTTACCCTTCCTGTGCAAGAGCTGGCCATAAAGAAATTCTCTGGGGGGCCAGGCATGGTGGTTCACACCTGTAATCCTAGCACTTGGGAGGCCAAGGCAGGTGGATTGCCTGAGCTCATGGATTCAAGACCAGCCTGAGCCAGAGGGAGACCTTGCCTCTAAAAACAGCCAGGTGTCGTGGCAGATGCCTGTAGCTCCAGCTACTTGGGAGGCTGAGGCAAGAGAATTGCTTGAGTCCAACAAGAGTTTGAAGTTGCTGTGAGCTATGATGCTGCAGCACTCTACCAAGGGTAACCAAGTGAAACTTTGTCTCAAAAAAAAAAAAGAAAAAAAATTCTCTGGGATCTCTTAAGACCAAGAACTCAAGATCAGCCTGAGTAAAAGCAAGACCCATCTAAACACAAGACAAATTAGCCAAGTGTTGTGAAACATGACTGTAGTCCCAGCTACTTAGTAGGCTGAGGCAGGAGGATTGTTTGAGCCTAGAAACTGAAGGTTGCAGTGAGCTCTGATGATGCCAGCACTGTAGCCCAAGCAACAAGGGAAGACCCTGTCTTTAAAAAAGAAAAAGAAATTCTCTGACCTACCTTGTCGACAGTAGGTCAAGACCCTTATTCCAGAGGAGTTCTGCCCTATACCCAGGCAGAACCAACAGGAAGGAATGTTACACAAAGAGACCAAGAAGAATCTTAACAGACAGGCCTTGCTGGGTTTCCCCCCTCAGTCTATTACCATTAGATCATTCATTCCCTTTGTCCAATCACATTTCCACATGGCTGTCCATTCTTCATTGAACCTAAGCATAAAAAGTTTTCCATGGGTCTTTGGGTCTTCATTTCTGAAGGCGCCTGTATCACATAAAACTTCAATTAAATAATTTTATTATGGTTTTCTCTTGTTGACCTGTTTTTGGTTATAAGGCATGTTGGTAATATCACTTACAATGAGGAAAAGTATCACACTTCCCCCCCCCCATACAGTTGTACTTCAAGTAAATAAACGTATAAAGACAAAGTAGACAAAAATACGTGCAGATGTTATGCAAATACTGAAGTCAAACAAGGCAACAGACTTGCGGTTGAAATGTCCCAGATCATCAAGTGTTTCCACTGAAAGAAAACATCTTAGAACTTCACTATCTACAGGATTAGAATATACAATCCATCCTTCAAGATTTAAATGGTTATCCACCAAGAAGGGAAAAAAAGGAGTACTGATGGTTCGTTCCTTTTAGGCCCATTCAAAACAAGGGGGTCAAATTTCCTCGCTTTAGTTGAGAGGGACTGGGAGGTACACCTGAGAAAAATTAAAACTAACAGTTTCGAAGGCCAGCAACTTCAGAGAAAGCGAAACATAAAAGTTTTAAAAAACGATGAAGGAAGGCAGGCCGAGAAACCACAATAACGCGTTGAGGACCCCACCGCGCCATCGCCACTGCTCAAAAGGGCAGAGACCGTAGCAGCTGCAAGACCAGCATCTTGGTCCCCGGAACGCAACAGCCAGCCTGTAGCTGGAGCAGGGGAGCGGTCCCAGGAACCCCCTTTCTGCCCTTCTCTCGTCAACCCCGCCCACTGGGTACGCCCCGTCCCGCCCGGCTACTCACCGGATTCGCTTCCCACATAACGGTGACGAGATCGAGCGGGAAGGCTCCGGGGGAAGGGGCTAGCCGCGGGGCCTGGGTGTTGGGATATTTCCGCGGGTCCCCGGGCGCGGACGGAGAGGCAACCTCAGGGAGGCCTTCCCTCTCTCCCTCCCCGTCACAAGCTAGCGTCTTCAGACCACCGAACCACCCGACTTCCGCCGCAGCCAGCCAATCAGCAGCGGCCCCGCTCTTCTCCCGGAAGTTAGCCCCGCCCCAGTCCCCCGCTTCCGGGGACTTGGGGGCGGGTCGTCGTGGGCGGGGCTTGCGAATGTGTGGGCTGTGAAATTTAAAGGGTTTGTAGTTAGCCACCCTTTCAAAGCTACATCTCCATACTACATCTCCGCCAAGCAATCCGCAAGCCGTGGCTGGTTGTATTTCCTTGCTAAGAACTGATATTTATTGACTGAGCGTCAGACAGGCCTGGGAATTAATCCCCGCTAGTCCAATGGGGTTTAGGACAAGCTTCATAACCTTCAATTTCCTCATCCTCAAAATGGAGATAATAATGGTATGTAAAAGTACAGTTAGCACAGTTATTTGACACACGGTTTATTAAGTGGCGACTGTGTGCTCAAAAGTGAACAGTGACCCATGTACAGTTTCTGCCCTCATGGATTTTAGAATCTAGAAGGGAAAAAAGTAAAAAATAATTTAGAAAAATTAAAAGGTGCAATGTGACTTATAGATAGTATGACACATATAAGGTTTTACTAATGTTTACCTCGAATAAGTGCCTGGGAAGCTCCCTTAAGAAGTTTAAGTGAAGACCATGAAGACTGTTCAGTAGAAATAAAGTCAGCTGGGTAAAGAGAGCTTAGGGAGTGGAATAATTTTCTAGGCAACAGAGTAGGATCTACCCACAGGAAATGAAAGTGAAACAGCTGCAACAAAGTCGGATCTATTCATAGGAAATGAAAATGAAACAGCTGCTTGTTATGTAGCCTTCTGGACTTTTCTATACCTCTACACATTTAAAAAAATAAAATATGATCAAAAAATACTTAGAACTTAACTTTTTTCACTTTAAATATGATGTGAATGTCCTTACATTTCAATACGTATAAATCTGTTCCATCACTTTAAAGTAGATTCATAGCATCCCATAACTTGTATGTATGATATACAAATACACATAAACACACATTTGAAACAATCCACTCTGATAGACATTTAAGTGGTCTTACTCTTTATTTCAAAAATATGCTGCATTCTTGTACTGACTTTTTTTCACATTTGTCCAATTACCTTTTAATTTATTTTTAGAAATAAATTGTTTGGTATGAGATTATGGAAATTTTTACCAAATGATTAACCGGTTGTCCCAATATCATTTATTGAGTAATTCATTCTTTCCCCACTACTTTAAAGTGATTCTGTTAATCATAAACTAAATTTGCATAAACAGAGGGTGCCAAAAAAAGTATACACATTTTAAGAAAGGGAATAAAACTGTATTAAATTTGCAATGCTTAAGTCACATTTGATTTCTGCAATTGAAGAAGTGATCAATGTTACTTGGAGTCATCTTTTGCTATCAGTATATATTGAATATTACAAATTTAATACCTTTTTTTCTTAAAATGTGTATAAATTTTTGGCACCCTCTATATGCATATATACATATATGTTTCTGAACATTCTCATCTATTTTATTACCTATCTACTTATTCCCGTGCTGTGCTACACTGTTAAAATTATTATAGCTTTGTAATATGTTTACTTTTTCATAAAGAAACTCTTCTACTACATCTCTTCTTACTAAAAACTTTCAAAATCATGAGTCTTCCCTTAAGGAACACATCTTTTCAGGTATTTTGCTCTTTTATATCTTTAAATACATTTAAAATTTTTTCCACATGGATTTGCAAAATTCTTGCATAGTTCTTTCCTAGGTATATTTTATAGGTTTTTTTGTGAATGAGATAGTTTTCATTGCTGTGATTTAGGTAAGTTATTGATTTTGTTTATTTGTCTTATATCCTGCTACACTGAAAATGTATAATTAGTTTTAACAGCTTGACAGACGATGGCTCTGAAGTTTTTTTTTTTCTTTTACAGTTTTTGGCCGGGGCTGGGCTTGAACCTGCCACCTCTGGCTTATGAGGCCGGCGCCCTACTCCTTTGAGCCACAGGTGCCACCCTGGCTCTGAATTTTTGTGTTAAACAATCATATCGGCTCAGCACCTGTAGCACGGTGATTATGGCACCAGCGACATACATAAAGACTAGTGGGTTCAAACCTGGCCTGGGCCAGCTGAACAACAATGACAACTGCAAAAAAAATAGCCAGGCATTGTGGCGGGTGCCTGTAGTCCCAGTTACTCGGGAGGCTGAGGCAAGAGAATTGCTTGAACCCAGGAGTTTGAGGTTGCTGTGAGCTGTGACACTATAGCACTCTACTGAGGGCAACATAGTGAGACTCTGTCTCAAAAAAAAAAAATCATATTACCTCCCAAGAATACAGTTTTTGATCCTTCTATTGAATTAACCAAAACCTGAGAAAATTTTTGAAGAATATAGGACAAGACAATGGGTATTCAGGCTTAATGCAGTGAGGTAAGAATGTGCCCGTAGTTGGTACTAGATATTCTTTAAATATACTATCTTCTTTAAAGAAATTTTCTTCTATTCCTAGTTTACTATAAGTTTTTAATTTGTCAGTTGTCTCATAAGCTCTAGTACTACATTTGCTTTTTACTCTGATTCATTCATAATAATAAATTATGCTGAGATTTCCTAATGTTCAACCCATCTTTACATTTCTGAAATAAATTGTGCTTTCTTATAGTATATTACTTTCTGAATATCATGCTTAGTTCAATTTGTGAATGCTCTATTTAGGATGAAAATTTATTTGTCATTAATAAAATTAATCCATTTTACTGGTGATTTTGTGATTGTCTTTAACAAATCTTGGTATCAGAATGATGCTAGACTTGAAAGTGAGCAGTAGCAGTTCATGTATTTAGAAATTAGCTCTTCCTTAAAGGTGGACTGGATTTTTATGAGGCACATGTAACTAGAAGGGTTAGGACCCGTTCCTGGATCTTTTGTGGGCTGAAGCTGTACCTCATTTTCTTGAAGCCCTGAGATTACTTGGGCTAATGATAGGAGAATGAGATGGAGTAAACACAATTGGTTTGGAGAAATGTTGAATGAATTAGGTGAATAATTATTTGAAATATACAGCTGTACCCCAAAGGAACATGAAGGGAACTGAAAATAGCTGAGCAAATTTTAGTTATTATGTTTTTGGGTTAATTTTTACTGGTTTAGGACTATTGTGTTAAAGAGCCAGTGTGGAAAGGGTCCTTTATGATTATTTAGTCCTAGCATCACAAGCTGACAGCTAATGAGCTTTAGTACACACATAATATTTAAAATGTTTTGAATAAATTGCCACTACTTTAAAACCAGGGATTTCACATTTAACAATATGGATTTCCAGCTTCATTTTCACATATGCCAACAACTGGTGAAGACATGTTAACTCCTTTTGACTGGGAATGGACTGTTGGCCTCCTTTAAATTATCTACTTGGAGCCTATTAAGTATTTGGATTTTAAATAACTAATAATCTACTTCTTATTTTGTGGTGTAAATGTAATGGATCTAGAACTTTCTAAAATATCCTTATAGAAAACAACTCCACCTCTTTTATAACTTACTCAAGGTTGAGCTCAATCATTGGGGTCTAACCTTTCAGAATCTTTTTTTTTTTTT